GCTGGATGGCAAGAATCATTGAATGGTTTGAGTTAGAAAAGACCTTAAAGATCATCTAATTCCAATGCTCCTGCCCATATCCCCCTACCATGGTCAAGGGACCAGGTTACTCAGAGCCCCATCAAACCTGGCTTTGAATACTTCCAGGGCACCCACAGATTCTCTATGCAACCTATTCCAGTGCCTCACCACCCTCACAATAAGGAATTTCTATCCAATATCTATTCTAAACCTGCACTCTTACAGTTTAAAGTCATTCACTCTTGTCCTGTTGCTACATACCCTTGTAAGAAGTCCCTCTCCAGCTCTCTTGTAGGCTCCATTCAGTTACTGGATGGTGCTCTAAGGTCTCCCTGGAGTGTTCTCTTCTCCAGGCTGAACAGCCCCAACTCTCTCAGCCTTTCCTCATAGCAGAGGTGCTCCATCCCTCTGATGGCCTTCCTCTGGACTCCCTCCAACAGGTCCATGTCATTCTTAAGCTGGGGAACCCAAAGCTGGAAGCAGTGCTTCAGGAGTAGTCTCACAAGAGCTGAGTAGAGGAGAATTCCCTCCCTTGACCTGCTGGCCACACTGCTTTTGGTGCACTCTAGGATTCCATTGGCTTTCTGGACTGCCAGTGCACATTCCTGGCTCATGTTGAGTTTTTCATCAACCATCACCCCAAGATCTTCTCCGCAGGGCTGCTCTCAGTCACTTCTCTGTCCATCCTGTGGATGTGCTGGGATTGCCGGGAACCAGGTGTAGGATGTTGCACTTGGCCTTGTTGAACTTCATGAACTAGGCCCACCTCTCAGGCCTATCAAGGTCCCTCTGGATGGAATCCCTTCCCTCCAGCGTGTCGACTGCCCCACACAGCTTGGTGTGTCAGCAAAATTGCTGAGGGTGCCCTCGATGCCACTGTCTGTGTCACTGACAGAGATGTTGAACAGCACCAGTCCCAGCACCGACTCCTGAGGGACACCACTGATCACTGGTTTCTAACTGAACATCAAGCAATCAACTGCAGCTCTTTGAGTGTGACTGTCCAGCCAATTCTTTATACATCAAGTGGTCCATCCATCAGATCCATGTCTCTCTCGTTTGGATACAAGGTTGGCATCTGGGACAGTGTCAAATGCTTTGCATAAACAGGTGGATGATGTCAGTCACTCTTCCCTCATCAAGCAATGCTGTAACCTCATTTTTGGATGTTTGACTTCAGCAATGGGGCCACTGCAGGCTGCAGTTGCAACCAGCTATCTAACTCCTTCTCTGTCTCCCTGATGTTATGTAGTCTTCTCACCGCCCCATGCAGCTCAGCCACCTGCAGCAGGAGGTGCATCACGCGGACACACATTTTTCAGGCAGGTTTGCTGCCTCTCCCTACAGCAGTTCTGTCTAGGTGGAGGCAGCAGGGAAGATGGTGCAGACCCTTCAGGCACAACAAGATTGTGCATCCCTACCTGTTTCAGAGGGCTCCTCTTTGATCCACTGCTGTGATGGGACGAGTTGACCTTTATGTCCCTCTCCTCTGACTTTACAAAAACAGAAGGGCTCTGGTGAGACCAGACCACAGGCAGGACAATTCACCTTTGCAGCAGGCTTCCTGCACTTTTCCAGTGACCCCTACAGGTTCTAGAGGCCTCTGCTGGGGTTACTGGGGTCACAGAAGGCTTAAGGCAGATAGACCACTTCTTTGGCAGGGAGAGGACACAGATCCAACCCCCCAGCACATCTGGTCCATGCCTTAAAATCAAAATCCCTCTGTTCTCCTAAGATTTCGGGTTCCCCTTTTTCTTAGGCTTTCTAGGAAAAGACACACCAAAAACTGCGGCGTGAGGGACAGATGAGTTGTGCAGCCTTGAAGAGAGGACTGTACAGAATAAAGTCGACTTCTGCTATGGTGGTAATTACAGACTAACCCAGATATTCGAGCCTCTTTTGTTCTAAACATAAAATGTGAAGTTAGCTGGGTCAGCAGGAACAGCTGATGGTGCAAGGCAGGAATCTGCATGAGCTACCTGGCCTCACTGTTAGCAGTGCCATAATGCCTTTATGGGATGCTGTCAGGGTATGACAGACCATATAGCAAAAGAGCAACCTGCTCCAGAGCACATTAGGAATTCTGAAATAGCCTCACGCACCTGAATGTCTGATGTCTGATTAGTAGAGAGAAAAATCTCTCCTTTCAAATCTCTTTTATATGCTTCCATAAAGGTAAGTGTCTTAGCTGGTGCAAAGACTCTCTGCCCAGGGCAATAGATTGTGCAGACATTTGCTCGCAGTATTTCTTTACTTCCTTAACCTATCATTCAAAATGGAGCTAATTTCACACTGTCATTTTGAAGATCCTCACACATCCTCAGTTTGAGCGCAAGTTATTGCACATCTGGCAGATACAGAGGCCTTTAGCTTGTGCTGCATAGCAGATCTGATGCACCCTTGCATCTATAACATACTTTTTAGGGATTGATATAGTGAGAAAAGGTTAATCTTTTCTTAAACCACCCTTTATTAAAAAACATAAACATTTGTAAATACATAAAATTATAAAGTACCAAGTGCTTCTTGCTTCCCAGTACAGCAGAACCCAGAAGTGGCAGGTAAATTTGGTGTTAATCTGTTTGGCGTGTTAGTTGCAGGACTGCAGCTAGTTTTGCAAAAGACAGCTAATGTCATTCCTCTGAGAGGTTTAAACAATTTTGTTTCACTTTGGTTTCAGAATTCCTTCCTTCTCCTTTTGAAAAACATCAGTGCTCACTGGTGAGATCAAGGCTGGAGATGTAGGAACGAACAGGCTCCCTAGGAGGATGCAGATTGCAGATGGGTGTTTCACAAAGGGAGAGCTTTCCAGTTTCTAATGGAGAAGAGAATTCAGGCACTGAGACATCTCCTTTGTACAGTGCTTCTCAGGGAAAGTGCATCCTTGGCATTGGGATCATCCTTTAGCTGGACCGAACAAAGCTACTCACAGATCCAATTTGCATCAAGATCCCTTTATCAGCAAGTACTGAGATTCCCTTGTAATGTGCATGGTATGAAGCACTATGAAACCCCAACTATCTAAATTTTTTTACCACGTAAATGTTATAAGGAAAAAATTTCTCAGGTTGTAGCGTAGATCTGAACACTGAAACAGGACACCAGACTGCAGTGGAAGTACTGTAAGATGAAAAATCCAGTTTTACACATAGTAATTGCTAGCATAACTGAACTCCAAATGGGATCTTTTGTATTACTCCCCATCTCTTATAACACTGATGAACACTTGTCAGTTGCAGAGAGAACTGGAAGGTGTTTGTTGATGTTGTTTCTTACTTGACCTTCCCTCCAGAGCCCCTAATACCTGTAGAAACTTATAAGTCCCTGCACTCTCTAAGAGGTCACCTTTGCCAGTTCTTCTGCCAGTTTTCAATACAGCAGGCTCTGCTGTGTCATTGCCCAAGCAGTGAGCTGCCCTCTCAGTTTTCCTCTATAGGACAGCGTCACCATCATCATCATCATCATGGCTGGGCTTCATGAACAAAGATTTAGGAAGGCTCTATCCACATTTGTTACAGGCACGCTGGTGACTTATGAGGCCAATAAGAGACAGACATATCCGATTGCAAAAGGCACAGCAGAAAGACTCCTCAGATGGTGTATTCTGCAAAACACGGTTCTTTCTGCATTGCCTTTTCTCCTCGAGAGTGATCCTGTGTGTGTTCTCAAAGGAGACAGCTGCGTTATAGATGGTGTGTCTCCAGACCTCCTGATTGGAGGCCAGAGTAGACCAGTTCTGTTGATCAATATGGCCAAGGCTGAGATGTTGTTTCAGGGAGTCCTTGTATCTTTTCTTTGAGGCTCCTCTCTTGCGGCAGCTGGTGGCAAGTTCACCATAAAGCAAGATCTTAGGGAGGCGGTGGTTGGTCCTTCATCCTGGAGATGCGCCCTGCCAATCACAGCTGTGTTCTCAGTAACATGGCCTCAATACTTGTGACTGCTGCTTGTTCTAGAACAGATGTATTGGTCACATAATCTGACCAGTGGATGTTTAGGATTGTACGGAGGCAGCGTTGATGGAAGCGTTTGAGGAGACACAGGTGGTGGCGGTAGATGACCCATGATTCAGACCCATACAAGACAGTAGACAGCACTATGGCTTTGTAAACACTGATCTTGGTACTTTTCTTCAAGTATTTATTATGCCAAACTCTTTTGTGGAGTTTTCCAAAAGCACTATATGCCTTTGCTAACCTGTTGTCTATCTCTCCATCAATCTTACCATCCGAGGAGATGAGGCTGCCTAGGTAATTAAACTGCTGGACTGATTTGAGCTCTGACTCGCCAATGGTGATGTGGGGATGATGGGGGACTTCCTGAGGTGCAGGTTGATGGAGG